AGTCCATGGGAAAAAAAAAAAGTTTTCTATGTATATAACCAGATTCCTTATTTAGCTTGTAAAGCCCAGGATTAGGGGCAAGCTTAGGGGAGTGATAGAGCAGTTTGGTGGGCACTTGATTAGTGATGGATGAGAAAAGGTTTGAACAAGAAGCTGATGGAGGGGGTGTTCTTTATTACAGTGTTCGTCTCTTGGAGCAACTTTACTGAAGCCCTACTGGCCAGGAAGTGCCTGGGTATGGGCTGCTCATGGGCCATCAAGAGTGAATCTTGTGTTTTCCTTTGCTTCTGTGCACAGCCTTTGCTCTTGTTTTATTGAATTGCCTTTACCTTGACCCATGAGGTTTATTTCAACTTATTCCCCTCCCACCCCAGTCCTGCTGAGGAGGGGAGTGATAGGGTGGCTTGGTGGAGTCCTGGCCTCCAGCCAAGCTCAGCCCACCACATCTGTGTCAAGAAATGTAGATTTAATTAAGTGTACATGACAAGATTCCTTATTAAACTTGCAAAGCATGGTCGTAAGGGCAAGCTTTATAGAATTTGACAAGACACCAAATTTAAAGGTATAAGGAAAGAAAAAGTAAGGAAAGTCAGACAAGAATTCTTTCTTTTCAAAGACATGGTTATATCATCAAACAGTGTTATGCAAAAGCTCTCTCACATCTCACGCTCAGAATTTTCAATGCTGAAGATTCATTGTGTGTGGTCAGAATCTCTTGCTATTCCTCCCAAATTAGATCTCTCCTTCCAACTCTTTCTGTCAGTCCTGTCTTACTCAGGCAAAATTCTAGTCAACTGATTTTCAGTGGGGTTTTTTGGATACCAGATTTATGAATTGTAATAGGCAGATGAGGAAGTGCATGAGAGAATTAATTTCTTAATTTATGGTAATGAAGAAAATGTCTCCAATTCCCTTTCTATTTTTTTCTTTAAAGAAGAAAATTAGGATTTGTTTTTCTTTAACAATACTTAGTTACAAATATTTGCAAATGTAACGTTCATACTTATTTCAGTAGCACAACTAAATTTAACAAACAAATTGATTTAGATGCAGTTCATAAGAAAGCTTTAAGTAGTCTTTTTCCTTTTGATGATAGAGCCTCATACTGTGAAGAATTAAAATATAACAGTAATAGATTATGGAATAAATAAAGAAGCTTGATTTTAGAGAATGAGAGTATGGTTGACAGAATAATTTGCTGTTATATTTATCGAGGTGTATTCTTCAGGGATAGCTGTAGCTTTCTATAGCATACAGTTACACAGGATGATTTTTTTGCACAGTCTTCATTTCATATTTGCCACTGCCAAGAGGCTAGACTACGTCAGCTGATTCAGCCCTGCCAATTCTCTTATTGGGAAGGAAACAGGAGAATCAGGATCTAAAATCCAGTGGACTGGGTTCTTGAATGTGTTCTTTGCTTTTGGTGGCAGTGTGATGGTGCAAAGCATGAGAAGCTGTGTTCTGTAGGTGGACCAGCAATTTGAAATCAGCAAGTCTCCTTGTTAATTCATTCCCCTCTGCTGTTCACCACGTCTGTGGCTTTGGAATGCTCTGGAAGTGTTTATGTGACCCAAAGCACACTTAGGCAGGAGAATTCTCAGCAGGCAATTCTTCTGGGTGTAGTTAGTTGGCATAGACTGGAGGAACTTGTGTAGAACATGAATTGAAGTCTGGGAAGAGCCATTAGTTAATCTTCCTTTTATAGTTTTGTTTCAGTTTATGGGGCAATTCACAGTTCCGTGGATTGCTTCTTGGAGCTGGGCTGTGGAGAAGAATTGAAAAAGTTCTGAGAGAACTGTTTATATATTGTCAAGAAATTGGCATGGAAATATTTCTGGTTAACTGGTCCATTTTGAATAGAAGTTATAAAAAATGTGATAGATCTTACATGGGTTTTTAAAAAAATCCTGTAAAGTTCTGTGTCTCTAATGAAAGCCATGTGACAGATATTCACAGCACTCCTACATTCCATCCCCTGCAGTTAATTATACAATTTCTTTCCACCCTCACAACATTTGTTCTTTCCTTAGCAAGCTGCAGATACAAAAATCTGTGCCAGAAATCTAAATCTGGTCCACCATGTTCTAAGTCTTGAAGGTGTACAAAAATGGATTCTTTTATGTCAAAGTAGCAGTAGTCTGCCACAGTTGAGGCTGTTAGTTTTAAGATAATTACAGAGAAGCAGCCAGAACTACTGTCATGCTTAGAGACAAATGTGGGTTTGGGTGAGCACGGGCTGCTGGGGGCAGAAAAGTAGCTTGTCTCATTTATCTTAACCAGAATTGTTGTTTGAGTTCTTATTTCTAGTTGATCCAACAATTTTTGGTTTTTAGAGCTTACATTCAGAAGGTTTGTGTGTTAGCAATGCATATGTCAAGTTTACTTTCATTTATGGGTTAGAACATGGTATTTTAGAATTAGTTTTCTTTTGCTCATCTAGGTTTTTATAGACATATTGACATTTGATGTATAAGGACTACTTGACTTTGGAAAGACATTCATTTGTAAATAGGTTGTAGTATGAAGTAATAAATATTGTCTGATTTAACATTGGGAGGATGTATCTTAAATCATTATTCAGATCTGGGAAATAATTTTGACTATTTATGGTAGTTACTGAATATTGTTGTTGCTTAGTTGTAGCATAGTAGAACAGAGAAGGTTATTGGTCAGATGTGAGAAGTAGGACAGTGAAATAATTTTGGAATCCAGAAGATGTAGTCAGTCTTGGGGTCACAAACAGTTGGCACATCAGTAGATTTAAAGTGGGGAAGTTTCTATATCTAAAGGATTTTAAAGTTTACTGGAGTTTTTAAGCTTATTATAGCTAACTAAAAATATGGTGAGATTAAAAAAATGTAAGAGTTGCCATTAAATAAAAGCAGGGCTGTAAATGAGTGGCCTACATGTGTATGCTCTCAGCTGAGTGTGTGCCTTGTAAGATGCCGATACTAAGAGAATTAAGATCTGGACATACATTAAAGTAGTGCTTATTTAATAATAGAACAGATTCAAAGTGTCTTGCTGAATTCTACCACTGGCAATACTTATTTTCCATTTGAAATAACTGATAAAAGACATTATTTTAAAATGTTGGTTTCTCAAGGTTTAGAATTTTTCATTTAGCTTAAATCATTGCTAAAACTCAACAGATTTATGTGTACTTGTGTAAAACATGAAGGTAGTATCAAAAGAAATGAAGTTTTGTTGTTATTTTGGTGTCTGTGTTGTTGCTGTTTTGGGTTTTATTTGGTGTGTTTCTGTTGTTTTTTAGAATGTGGAGTTGCAGAACATCAATTAAACATAAAAGGTCTGATGACATGCATTTAAGTCCCCTAATTCCTTCAATTAAATGTCTTTTAGTACAGACTGTGAGCCTGTTCAGGAATTCATATTTCTAAAAGCTCAGTGTGCTGTGTAGGTAATGAGCAGAGGGAAAAAATAAGATAAACAAATTATCAGATGAGGACATATTCTGAAATGAACATCATAAACCATAGCAATTTAGGCTAATTATCTGTGCTCCAACCTTAACATGGGTAAAATCCATTTTGATTTTGCTCTGTGTGAGTAAGGAGTGCAGGACTGGAACAGAGACAGATCTCTGTACTCAGATGTAGTATAAATATCTTAGGACAAATTACAGTGTTCTGAAAAACCTAAAAGTGTAAACGAACAGCAATGTCCAATAGGAATGTTGTAATTTATTATGGAACTGATTATTTCAAATATGTTTTTCTTTGTCACCTCTATTGAGTGAAGTCTGTCTGTAAGTTTATATATTTGAGTACTGTGAATTTGTTGTTGCCTTTCTGTATAAGTCAATAAAATATTTTTTTTCTGTTGAAGATACTTTTTGTTGAATTCAGTTCTTTCTGTTGAATCTCCTTTGCTTGCATCTGACCTTTATTTATGTTGATTTTGCTTCATTTTTTCGTTTACCATGCTGTTCAGTTTTTGGATGCCAGAAGAACAAAGGTTTGTCCACTACTTGCAGTAAATTTATTTTTCAAAATTTATTATTGCTTATTGTGGTTTTTTTGTTTGCTTTTTAGAGATACAGTAATCCTGTTTACTAAACTTTTCATAGCTTTAGCTTCCAAAATGAAAAAATGAGACCAACCGGCCCAAACTCAGTCCCTCCCTAAAGTCCCCTTAAATTATAGTGAGGGCTTTGATTGACTTTATAAACAACAGTACTGTTGAGCACCATGAAGAGCAGATTTATCTTTAGTCTATGAGGTAATTTAGAAAACATGGAATACTGAGTCTTTGAGCTTTGTAGGTTCTAATGGATGTGTCACTACCTAGTGTTTGCATTTGTTGCTATTAATTTTATCTGTAGCTGACATTATTTTGTGTCTGTGTATGTTGTCTTCTTTTTTTTTTCTAGAAGCACTTGAAAGTTATTACAAATATTGTCACCTGCGTTTGATATTTTATAAGGTCATTTTGTATACTTTCATTACTAATTCTAATGACGTTTTGTAACAGCATACAACAAAACAAATCAAATAGTAATTCTACATTCAGATACTAAGCTAATTTTTTCTCTTTCATCTTCTTTATTGCAGCATCTGCAAATGACAATCCAGGCACTTCAAGATGAGCTTAGAACCCAGAGAGACCTTAACCATCTTCTCCAGCAGGAAAGTGGGAACCGAGGAGCTGAGCATTTTACCATTGAGCTCACAGAGGAGAATTTTCGAAGACTTCAGGCAGAACATGATAGACAAGCTAAAGAGCTCTTCCTATTGAGAAAAACTCTAGAAGAAATGGAGCTTAGGATTGAAACACAAAAGCAAACACTAAATGCCAGAGATGAATCAATAAAAAAGCTTCTAGAGATGTTGCAAAGTAAAGGTTTGCCTTCTAAAGGAATGGAAGATGACAATGAGAGAACTCGAAGGATGGCAGAGGCTGAATCTCAGGTTAATCATTTAGAAGTGATTTTAGATCAGAAGGAGAAGGAAAACATGCATCTTAGAGAGGTAATGGAAAACTCATTTCTTTGTTTAAAATTCAAATTTTTGTTAAAAATAGTCATGGAACTTGTTGGAGTTTTAGAAATATATTTAGAGTATTGAAGTGTTTTCTTTTTGTGCTCTAATTTTTGGATGGAAAGGATAGCATGCATTTGTTTTACATCTGTATTAAGTACTCAGCAGGACTATATGGTATTTGAGAGCAAGAATAAGAAAATATGAAAGAGAAGTAGGTATATTTGGGCTTATTGTCTCTGTAATGTTGTTTTGCAAAGTTTCTTTATCCTTTGATTTTGGTAAAGTGATACCTGGCAAGTGAAGACTGGACCTACTGAAGAGGGAAGTGACGCCTGCTGCTGCTCTAACTAAAGTCATGAGTGCGTGCTACCTTTGTATTGGATTTGTATGCCTCTATTGTTTGAAGAGTGTTTTAAAAATATTTTCCTTCCATATACACAAAGGATTCTGCCTATGTGCATTTCTAATGTATTTTCATGTGGGGATACTCCAACTTTTTACATAAATATACCCTAATGTCACATTAAAACACTGTGCTGCTGCTTGTGCTCTACTTTGACAAAACCTAAATTTGATTTCAAGCCCACCTGCACTAGGTGCCTACATCACTTGCAAATGCATTTTTGGGACTGGATTTGGGATGATTGGATTGGTACAATTGAAAGAAAATCTGGCCTGGTGTCGAGCCCATCTGCCCCTTTAGATCCCAGCAGTGTTCTCATGTGACTCTGTCAGGCAAACCAGGCAGGGCCAGAGACCCTGCTAAGGAGGGTGAAAATTTGCAGGGAGGTTGTGGACAACTACACACAGCAAGGGAAGTCAGCAGAAACACATCTATTCACTTAGAAACTCAGCAGCAGTTGGTCACTAAAAACACCAATTTGCCTGACAGATCAAAGCACAAATGAAATTAGTGCAAGAGATTAAGAACAGCTATTTACATCTAGGGACTGTTGGCAAAATATTTCCTTTGCTATGGACAAATTATTCTATATTTAGCTTATGTTCTTCTCTAACCTAGAATATGCATTGAAGACTCAGTAGTTTCTGCTGCCCATTTGCAGCTTAGAAAGTGGAAAGTTTCATTATATGCTTCAGTAAAGTTTTCTTGTGAAGGTGTGGATCCTGAATCTTTTCATAGGCAGAATTTTAATTAAAACTGATGTAATGCATTAATGGATTCTGCAAGGACTTGCATAAGGACCTAATGATACTGAATTTGTGATGAGGAAGGGTTGTGGAGTAAGTTCTGTAAACTAGCAGACAAGTTTCTGGATTTAGATATTTAGATCTGCATACACTCTGTTTTCAAGGATGGGTGATTGTGTGATTGTATTTATTCTGTTTTATCAGTGTCAATTAAGCCTGTGAACCCTAATTTAGCTTTATATGGGACATGAGGAAATTTGAAGAAAGTTTCTAATGAGAATGGTTATCAAGGACAGTGAGAAATAGAACTAAATTGAGCTCAAAAAATAGATAAAGGGTAGGCTTCCAAGTAAAGTCCAATTTGCATCCATTTTACTCGATGTTTATTTCCAAGACATGCGGACAGGAGAAATTATTGCTACCTATAGACTATGCATGTTTCTCCTGTATTTATACTGAATTAATTTGATATGCCCCCCCAGTTGTTCTCAGGGGCAGGGAAAAAGTTGTTTTTCCCTCAGTTTATATGAGAATATAGAGGTTGTCTTTTGTCTGGGGTGCTGCAAGTGTAGATTGGGATTTACTGCTTATGACATGCTGATATACCATGGTAAGTGGTCAAGGTTTAAAATTTTACTGGATTTGTTGCTTGGAATCTGTCCCAGCCAGATTGGCAGGAACTGTCTAATGTTTTGGACATTTTGGCTCACAATTTCATTGTTTTTATAAGAATTCAAGGCTTTGGGTGCAGTCTCTTTCTCCAGCTCTCTTTCTGTTGCCCATAGTATTTATAGGTTTTATTTTTTATTTATTTTTGAGTTTCTGCATATTTGAAGTTGTAGGGAGCTTGGAAATAAGATGTGTAGGCTGTAGGAGCTCTTCAGAAGTAAAATGTTTTAATAGGTGCCTGTTTGTTTATCCAGGACTCTGGGTTTTATTGTTCTGTTGGACTCTTGGAAAATGTACTGAGGTTCAAATTTTTTTTTTATTTTCTTTCTTGTTATGGAAAGTTGTCTGCGTGCTTTGAAGTAGCATCAGACATTATGTATAGTTTGAAAGTATTACGTATTTGTTAAAAGTCCAAATAGATCAACCTTTGATCTTTATGTGTAGCTTGGTAAATCCTTGTTCTGCAGTGCTCATTTGAATTTCTGTCTCTGCTTTTAATCTTCATTCTGCACAATACAGGTTCTCAGTATGATAAAACAGAGGTTACTGGGTTGAATCTTCTGCAGCAGCCTGCCCAGTGGATCGATTTTTCCCCTGTAACTAGTGTTTATTGTTTTTCATCCTAACTGTGTAAATCACCTGTCAGTTATTGAACATTTTTTTTCTTCCTGAGAATGCTTTAAAAGTAAGCTGGAACTTGGATACATTCTTAGTGACTTTCATTCATGATTTATTTAGAATTCACTCAAATTGTATTAATCTTTATATATACTTAACAAAATATTTGTCATTTTAGAAGATAATCTAAAATACTCTGCTATCTTTATTTTTACAGGTTGGAGTATAGCTCATGTGTTGAGTTTATTTCTGAGAAACTAGCATTGGGTCATGTATAATGTTCTGTTTGATCAAATCCTGGATGGCTGTTTTTTCTCTTTAATACAGGGGATGATTCAGGGGGAATTCCTTTATGGAAAGGGTTGTTAAATGCTGGAATGGACAACTTGGGCAAGTGATGGGGTCGTCATCCCTGAAGGTGTTCAAGAAATGACTGGGTTTGGCACTCAGTGCCATGGTCTGATTGAGAAGGTGGAGCTGTTCAAAATCTTTGGACCTGATGGTCTTGAATGTCTTTTCCAACCTTAATGACTTGGTGATTCTGTGAAACAAGGATGATGAAATTCTGTGTAGCATCATATGAAGTTATTCAACAAATAGGGTTTGTTTGTGTCAGTTTACCTTTACAATGATAGATTCTGCTGTAGATTCCAGCAGAAAGAGTGCTGTCTGTGGAAAGAAGTTACCATGATGCAAATGAAGTTGAATATGGAAAAAATTAACTGAAGACAACTGATTTTATACAGCCTCAACACTACCTTAAAATGTAATGCAGAGATGGACTTTTGTAGAGGGGCATAAGCCCTTTGCTGTGGGTATTAATTTAAAATTACTTTCCATCTAAATTTTTCAGTTCATGAAATTTAATTGTGTGCCAGCCTAGCTAAAAGAAGGTCAAGTCTTACATGTTGAGCTCTTGACCATGTTTTCCCCTAATGCAGCGATAATTTTCTCTCTTATGCTGTTCATTTCTTAGTGCTTTAAGACAGTGGAAAGCTGGAATTTTTTCTTTTGTTAATTCATTTTGTTCATCTTTTAGATAATTCAACATTATGGTGTAGAAAGTTATTAATAGTCACTGATGGGTGATAGTTTGACCAAACCAGAGAATTAAACTGCCGTGTTGTGAGAGAAACTGAAGCAAGTGGTCTTGAAACACTGGGAATTTAGGACAACCTCTTCAACACACCTGTATCTCAAATCAATGTCAGTTCTCTCTCCTTGACCTGCACCCTCTGAGCACTGATCCTACAAGGAATTGAACAGTAAGGGAGGTGTTCTTTGTTACTCCACAGCTGCTTTTGTCTAGCTGGTAACTTTTTCACTTAACTAGGTAGAGAGAAATAACTTCTTCTTGTCTGTCAGACTCCACCACCTTGTCAAATACTATTTTTCTGGCAATTTCACACAAGAATGCACATTATCAGAAATAAATATCCTACTGTTCTGATTGGCTGGTTATCTAAGAATCATGCAGAAATTTCTCATTTTTAAGCCATTGATTGCTTCTTGCCCTTTCCCCACCCACCCCCATGAGAAGCCTCAGCAGAATTTGGTAATTATAGCTACTTCAAAGATCTGGAAGTTCTCCAGGCTTTAGGTGGTATTTCTTAGAGAAAGTACAGGCGAGAGTAATGGAATTGCTGGTGTACTAGAGGCAGAGAAATAACTCCAGAATACAAAACAGGTTTTTTTTTCTTCATTTGCTATCATAATCTTAGGACATACAGGGAGTGAGGTGTTGACTTGGTGGCCCTCAAAGATTGTATCTTTCTGCAGTGTACAATCCATGCATCTTTAAACTTTGCATCACAGAAGCACACTTGTGATGGCAGTTTTGCTCAAGCTTTGTGTTTCAGGACCTTAGAAGTGGCAAGTGTGAGGCACATTATAGAGCAGGAGAAGGAGAATAAAGCTGAAATTGGAATCCTGCTCTTTTACAGGAATAGCAAAGAATATCAATGTCAGCAAGGTTCACTAAAATGCTGGGGAAATAAGCTGTGTAAAAAATGGGCTTAGATTTCTTTCCTTTATCAAGGAATTTAAAATCTGGGCAATAAGCTTTCACAGGGATAGCAGAATTCCCAGCTTGGAGAGAGTTATAGCAAAGTTTTCCTTAGTTGCTGATTCACAAAGCAGGAGAGGACAAATGTAGCTCTTGAGTAACAGTGTGAGCATGTGTTTCTGCTTCAGTTTGGGAGATGGAGCCTCTCGAGGGAGTGTTGAGCTCTGTTTCGTGCTTTCTGAGCATTTCTGCCCAGATTGCACTTGGTTTTCTATCACTGTTAGACTGAATCCTATGCCTTTAACTAATTAAATTCACTCAAGTATTTTTGTTAGTGTTTTTCAAAGGTAGATGAAATTTATTGTTGTTTTCTGAAAAAAATGAATGGCTTTTGCTTTGATAGGAAAATGAATGTATCTTGTGGGGAGCAAAGTGGTCTTTGCATGTAGACTTGAGAGAAAGGACATTCTTGGTCTGTTAGTGGTTGAAAATATGTCTTGAAGCCATAACATCATTCTATGGCTTTCTTCATGTTCAGAATTAAATATCATAAAGATCACTAAATATACATTCTTGTCAGAAAACACAAGGTGCCTGCCTTAAAGTTCTTAAATTGGTTATCACATGTCTCTTCTAGAATTTTAAATAAACATTTGTTTCTCTATAACTTTGTGAGAACTGTAGGTAATATGGGGATTTTATCATGTGGAAATCTAGCACAGATGTTTGGTATTACTTTTTTTTAAACATAGTGGCCACACATTATTTACCCTAAGTACCATTAAGTATTTTTTTATTATTGCTATTAAAAACTTGCCTAAGGCAAAGTCCCACTAAGTCTCTAGTAAAGTCAAATGTTAAAATTCCACAAAGTATTTTATTATATATACATACACGTATATTACATATGCCCTCTCTGTACAACATACAATTTCACTAAAACAAATTCTGAGATCATATTGGATTTTATATACACATTTTAACTCTTATCTTGCATGTATTCTTAAAATAATGTTGTTGCTCATGGTTTAAAATTAGAGCTTTTTTGTATTTAGTAGAAAGAAGAACAACACATCTTTATAATAATTTAAAGTGTACTTCTAAACTTTCAAGGGGCTTTTTAAAACTTTGCTCTATCTTTGAACTCAGCTTGGTCAAATAACGAAGGCTGCTGATAGGATTTGAACTGCCATCATGAATTAGTTATTGCATGTTTTTAAAGTTATTAATGGAGCAAAGTTCCTCTTCCACTGTGAATAGAACAGATGCCTTGCAGACTTTTGGTGTTTACTGTAAATGTCTTACACTGGAGCCAGTAGTAATTTACTAAGGAAATGCTTTATCGACACCGAACTTTTCTTCCCCAAAGTTGGTTACCCAGATTAACAACCATTCTAGACTGAGCTTTTTTATTAGGTTCATTAGTATACCTCTTTCCTTTTATTTCTCCTGCCTCAACTCAAAATATTAATCTTATCATTTGCTCTAAAGACAATTGCTTTTTATCAAAATACCAATAGTAATGAGTGTTTTTAAGGTGATGCCTTAAGTATACAGAAGGACTCTGCAGTGTTGGCAGTTGCTGGAGACATGAGGAAGTAGACAGAACCTGCTTATGCTCTAGAGAACAGTTGTTACTTCTAACATAGGCCATTCAGATTTTGCTATGCCCTGTGATATTCTTGCCAGGGTGCTTGGCTGCAATAGTTTTTATAAGTCCATGAAGGATTGGAAAGCTTTGTTCATTTAGAAATCACTTTCTTTAAAAGCAGGATTGACCTCCGTGACACAACCACCAGTAGTTTGGAATTGCGTATATGAGAAAGCTGTCAGTTTGAAACTGCCATGCCTCATACCAGCAATTAAAAAAATTATTTTTGGAAGAGAGTAAAACCATATCCATAAATAAGCTGGATTTCTGTACCTTTCTGTGTGGAGGTGATCAGTATTGATCCTGCCAGCATTCCTGGAAAGTGCATCCTTTAGAAGGCAATCTGGGGACTGGCTTAAATTGCTGTAATTCAAGTGTTGTCCCCAGACATAATATGCTGTCTTTGCAAGGCTCTTTGCTCAGTTCACACATTTACTACTTTCTAGTTGCATGATAAGTTTTTGGAGACAAGCCACGATGAAATAGAGAAAAATTATCAGTTTTGGTTTCTTTCATATTCCCTGTCCCGTAAATGCTCTGTTACTCATTTCTGTGCCAATAACTTCATTTTCCTATAATGTAATTAACTTTTTCTAGGTCCATCTTCCTGTCCTTTTTTGGATGAATGACTATAGCTCATGGAAGTGACTCACAGACTCTGAGACTTTAATGTATTTTCTCAGAATCAGAACTGAATTTCCAGGGAAGGGGAGAGCTGGCCACCCTGGAATTCCAGTGTAGACTGCTCTGATTTAGACCCTCTCTGTTAGCTGATTTGAAATTACTTTGTCTTAGGAAACATTCAGCCTTTACCCTGGACTGGAAATCCATGTATTTTCACTTGAGATAGAGTTGCAGAAAACTGCAACAGGCCAATCTCCTGCCAGAGTCTATATATATATATGAGCGCACTTTTTTCCTTGCAAGGTTGCAAAGACTCAAAAGAAGAAAATGTTTTTTTATCTTTGAAAACAACCTCCTCCCTCCTCTACCCCTCAGTCTGCTAATAAAGTAGTTTTTCATTTGCTAAAAATGAGTTTTGCCTTGGTATGTGCTGGTTTATTTTAGTAATGAAAGTGGAAGTTTTATTGTAGGTAGTAGAACACAGCTAATAATGTAAACCCTTTCTAAAGTTTCACCTAAATCTCAACTTAATGAAGAAAAGTGTAATGTCAGATTAAGCTATTTAACAAAACAATATTTCTGATATAGTGAATAGATTATAATTTCCTAATTTTATAGCTATAGTGTTTGGCTTGTGAGGCAATTCTGATAATAGGAAATTTTTTTTTGATTTTTAACAGTTTGGGGCTGATATTCCCACATGATTATAAGGCTCTCAATATATTTATGCACAAATACAAAATTTGATAATGGCTATAAACATAATTCATCTCCCTATAAATACTTGGCTAAAATGTTGGTGAATAACCCCAATAATGCTCTGAAAGACATAGCCATCAAAAATGTGGATATGTTTGAAAGCACTGAGAACAAAATTCTGGGTTTTTTTTGGTTTTTTTTTTTTTTTTTTTAATCAGATGATATCAGTGGGATTGATTGATTTAAGGGGAATAGCATTAGATTTGAGAGAATAAATGAATCCAGACTTGGTTACTGGTAGGTTACACTGTTGGAAAGAAATAGTTTTCCATAGCTTTTCTGTAGGTGGAGCCAATGTCTTCACCTGCTTGGTTCATTTCCATATATCAGCACAGCATCCTCTCCCTGAAACATAACCCTTTAAAAAAAAAAAACAACCCACATGTTTTAGAGCCATTTATGTCTAATGAGTTTATTTAGGATAGTTACTGGTTCTGTATGTTCTTCATTGCCCTGCTTTTTATGCAATTTTCTTTCTAAACACACACTTTATGTTCTTTCCTAGAGACCTGTGATAATGGAAGATTTTTTTACATAGTCCAAGTTCTACTGATATTACTAAAAAAAAAAAAAAGAAAAATAATGTAATAATTGTCAGAGAAATGCTTAGTCAGCTGATGGCTGTAGTTGGTAACAGCAAACAGATTCTTTGTGTGTTTCACTGGCTGCTGTATGCTCCATTAACAAAATTCTTATGCTGCCATTCCTCTGCAATGTTGTCTCATTCCTAATTGCATTCAGACCAGTATTTTTTTGGAAAACTTCCAAATGGGGCTAATAAAGAGCCATTTGTTAAAGGGAATGAGCTTCACACACCTTTCTCTTTAAAGTATGCGTGTGGAGAATGCATTAATTTCATTTGCTAATAGATAATTACATTGAGTTATCTATTTTTTATAGTCACACTGCTTTAATTTGCTTTGACTCTTACACATTTAATTTCCATGATTAGAAATTTATTTATAAAAGTACATAGGTCTTAGGTTTTAGATTTATAACAATGAATATAAGCTAAAATAGATGGGTTTATTTTCTTTAGCTCATTATTTGACTTAAAACTAAACATTGGAAAAATATTTCTCTAATGCATAGTCTTTAGAAGGAGAACTCCAGGAATTTCTCAGTTCATGAGATCCTTTCAGCAAGTTCCTGCAAATACTGAGTCAATTAAATTTCTACTTTTTCATTAGCTGCTGAATTTTTGCAAGGTTTATTAACTAGAGCAGTGGTATTTAGATGCTGAGCAAGAAATAGTGTGTGGATTAATAGGTATTTGAAAGTATTGGGAAAAAATATGAGGCCCTAAATAATTCCTAAAAATCAGCCAGTAGCTAACTTGAAGATTTTCATCCTTCATGTAGAGCATGAAGGCACTAGATGGCTCTCTTGAACGAGGATTGTGTTTCAGTGTTGTTTTCACAGACAATCTCATCCTATTTGTTATTTTTCATTGCTCCTTTTAGAGTGGTAGTCCATGCAAAGACATTTCCACACAGATTTTATTTGAGTCTGTGATCTGAATGCAGTTTACAACAACTAAGTCAGAGAACCAAAGGAAGCAGACTGAAAAGGATAGTGCAGCTTTCTACAGAAAATCAGGAGTGCAGTCTGAAGGGATTGGTGAAATTTGGTCCCACTGTGTTAGTCAGGGATTGTAATTTGATTTACTAAAGTTAAAGAGCAAACTAAGGGGTCATTTTCCTCTTTGAATGGGTTGGAGCTTCATCATATCTGCTCCGATACTGCAGCTGCAACACATCTGAAAGCGCATTGGGGAGCCGGCAGTGCTTGTTTCAGGTGTTAGCATGTTCTTAGCAGTGCTGAATTAAAGCACAGCTTCTCTCAGCTTGGGGCACCTGTGAGACACTGGGCACTCCCATGGCTCCAGCATTCCTTGTTTCAGTATCTGGGGGAAGCAGCTGCCATTCCAAAGAACAGTGTTTTCATGGAGAAAGCACATTTCTCTGCTACGTCTTAAGACTCATAGGCAATGTCATTGCTGATGAAATTTTCTGTCCCCAGCTATGAGTAATTAAGCTTGTAGCTACTTGCTATTTCATAAGTGATTGTGCAGGTGTCAAATAGATGAGGAGACTGAATATACTATATGCTGAATTATCTTTGCTGTCATTTATTAAACATCTGTTTTGATGAAGAGTTACAGTGTCCTTTGGGAAATACCACCCTGATAATTCCATAAGATGTAGCATTCATTCTCTCTCTCTTTTTTAAACAATTATTAAAAAATTTTAAGATTTTTTGTACCTCAAATGAAAGATGCTTATGCAGGTTTCCATAGCTCGAGCAACATAATGATGAACAAATAAATATGAGGTAGACAGTTTTTCTGATATTGTAGTGCTTTTACACATACATGCCACAAACAAGTTTTTCCCCTTGCAGACCTTTCTCACAAAGGAAGTAGAATCTGTATTCGATTTTAAAAAGTACCACTGTAGCAGAGGAGGAAGGATTTTTATTGCAGATGCATTGTTATCCCCAACAAAAATGTTGGTCTGTTTTAGAGCCTTGGTGGACTGAACACCTGCATGTTTCAGTCAGAGCAATCAGTTTGTTCTTACTTGTTCCTGATCTGCCTGGAGAGAGTAATTTTCAGCTCTCAACTTGCAAATGGCATATTTTCACATAGGAGGACATGTGGCAGAGGAAAGATTTTCAGCTGATAACAAGTTTCAGAAACCATTATCAAAATAATGTTACCTTTCAGCCTCTCAACAGTACTGTGAGTGTTTACAGAGGTCTTGGCAGTGCTTACTCCCCATCTGCACCATTAAGGCACAGCATGATTGGCCAGAAAAAGGAATTCTTACCAAGAGATTGGGAACAGACAAGCATAGGCTCCCAGGAAAAAAGTTCATTTTAACACCAACTCAGATAATAGAATTTATCAAAACAATAGTGGGCTTCAGGATGGTAAGATGGAGCTTCTGGAAGGATTCCAAATTGGGGCTACTTTGATCATTTTTTTCTGCTGTGTCCTTCAGCAGGAAGGGTTTCTTGCCTCACATGTATCTGGAAGCCAGGTGCCACATGCAAAATTAATCTTTAATTTATTAACCATTTTTTTCTGAATGGCTGTCTTTCTAGCAAAGCCTAAGAAACTGGTTTAAACATCCAGAAAACCTAAGTGTTTTTTGTGTCTGATAGAAAAAAATTAGAATTAGAAAGTTTCATAAAACTTCCCTTTTATTTCTTCAGAAACGAGTTATGAATGTATTATTAGGAGGCTGAATAATCCCAGTATATGAATTTGTGGTTTTGCTCATGGTGTGGAGTACCAACCCGTGGTACTTCACAAGCATCTTTCATTCAATTTTATGAAGCTTTAGTTCTAATGTCAAATGTGTTTGAATATTGCCTATGATCTCTTCCTGCTAGAATCATTGGGTAGAATGACAGAGATGAACTCCATAAATAAGGGGAAGTGTAGGCTGTTCAATTACAAGTGCTGCCATACAGGGTTTGTGCATCATGATATTTGTGAAATGCTTACTAGTTATTTAGTAAGCATTTGTGAAATGCTTACTAGTTATTTACAAAATGCTGAAAGTGTGAGCAGAAGCTCTCCTGAGAAGAGGAGCAAAAGAGCTGGCTTAACATATTTAATTTGCCAGCTGTAGGAGTTATGCACTTTTTTTGGATAGATATTTACTACAGGAATGTAAAATTCAGGCAATTTAACAGCATGAAGGAATTTATGAAGAAAGCTTGTTTTTTCAGATGGCAATAGGTTTTGTTCATGATTTGAATAATTGCATTTGCCATTATGACAGCTAAATTTATTTCACTGTGTTCTGCCCAGGTCACAATTATGTGTTGTAAACTTGGCAGTCATTGGTGTTCCTGGTTCCTGGTGTTTCCCTGGACTGCTGCAACTCGAGGTTGCAGCAACTCACGGATTTATGAAAGACCTGCAAGAATTCTTTTTCCACAAGATCGTCCTCCCCTTCTTTTTCAGAGCTGAGTTAAATATTCCAGATCTAATGTTTTGAATTTTTGTCTACCATCCCTTTTCCATTTCACTTTGAAGGAGGAATTCAGCAATAACAGTATCAACCAGTATCAGGCTGAAACAATTGAGACTTTTCTGTGAGACTTCTGGCTCGCTTTGGTGTTTACTGTGTCTCATCATCAGGTGATTGTGATGAAGCCATACTCAAAATTTTTGCCCAAGACAGGTTTCAGAATTACAAATTTAATCAAGTTATATGCTAACCTGTATTCCTCTTGAGACACATTGAAATAATGAGAAAACTACTTGGCACTCTTAGATATCAGAAAAGCCTTTTTGTTTGAAGGTTTGGAGCCCTTCTTCCCTGAACTGTTAGTCCTAAAGAAGCTTAAAAATTTTACTGTCTCTCTGAATACCCCCTTAATTACTGTTAATTCAGAGTATCTCTGAATGTATTCAGAACTTTTATTTCCTGAAGCGTTACATAGTGCTTGGGGTTCACTGTGAGAGGGAAACACCAGGACAAGCAACTTGGAAAAAATAAAGTTTACCAGCTTGTCTGTCCTCTGGATTTCTTTGAGATGTTTTGATCCTTTCTGTGTTCAGCTTCACACCCTCCTCCACTCTCGTGTGTACTTGGGGCACAAAGATCAGTGGCAGTCATGCCTTGTTCTTCCCTCTCTGGCGCCGGGAGTGAGGCTGGTGCAGGTGCAGAGTCAGTGGCAGCTGTTTTCCCAGCTCTGTTCCAGGTGTGGGAAGCACAGCAGTCACTTTGTGGCTGCCTGGCTCTCACACCTGCCTGGTGCACAGCTTGGACTTCACTTATTTCCCAACCTCCTCCAAAAGCAATTGCTTGGGAATGACAGCTGCATCTACATAAATGCAAACAGCATGCACAAAATCCATGTCAATGTACAGCCTCTGAATCTTTATTTTCCAAGTGAATTTCCTGGCTACAGGAATAGAGTATTCTATGTAAGTAATATACCATATAGAACATCTTATATACAGTGATATTTGTGGTATTAATAGATCTGTAAAAATGTTTTGGGGGATGATTTATATTAGTTCTCTTGCATGATAGGAGTACTAGGTGAAGTGTCTCATGAAAAAGATGGATTCTGAAGACAGACAAATGTTCTTTTAAAGATCTTTTAGACAAGTATTTAATTTTTTCTCCAGTGTAAATTCAAACTTGTTTACTGCATCCATAAGTGTTTTCTAATATTTCTCATACAGTGGTAATACCAATGTTTCTGTCGTGAATGTTTCCAAATGCAAAAGTAACTTTTCTTTAGTGTCACAATAAAATTCATATAAATGTTAGAAAGAAGAGAATGGCAAGATTTCGAGTATAGGAATGTAATTCTCTATAGAACACCTATTTTGTTTTCAGAAATAAAGTTGAACTGTCTATATTTTGCACTAATTTTGTATTTTGCATGCCTTCAGAGCTCTGGATATGTAAACTGTACCTTCCAACAGTTAAGATTTGAAGCACGACACATCCTGATTCTTGGTGTAAAAATAAATTTAAAAATTGACACTTCCTGTGAAGGAGAGGCAATGCATACACAGAGCATGTTGTAACTGTGGAGTCCTACAGAACACCTGACAGTTCTGATCATGTACTTCAGAAAATAGTTTTTCCAGTGCTGTCTTGAGTGAACAGCCTATCAAAAGCTTGCTAGGAAAAGGAAATATCTTTAAAAGTTTTCATTGTATTCTCAGCTGTGTTAAACCAGTTTATTAAGAATGGATTTATGCACTCTGGTACCTGAACAAAGTAATTTGTATTGGGATTGTTCAATGTGATGACAGAACTGGAAGTCATTATTACATTACACTTGTATTTCTTGTTGCTGGCAAGTTCCTGAAGGACATGAGATTTTAGATGTTGTCACACTGAGACAGAGTCTCACCTAACCTGGAAACCAGCAAGATAAAAAAGCAGGAAATGACCTGTAAAGAACAAAGTTCTTTGGGATTTTTCAGGATCTGGTTGGGGATTTCTTGAAAAAGAACTGAGGTAATGATTGATTGTGGAGGAAGAAGTGAAAATAATGAGGTGTCGTTAATATTTCATAATTGTCAACACTACAGGTGATAACTGGAAGCAATATATTGCTTTGTCTTGAAAGCACATGTCAAAAGCTGTTTTAGATGTCATTGTACCGTAACAGCTGAGCCAAAATATAGTGTGCTTATATATGAATCTGTTAATCTTGCCTAATTTAATGCACTGAGAAATCAAATCTAACTTTTTTGTTTGTTTTCTCAGTTGAGGTTAAATGAGCAAGCAATTATTTGACTTTTTAGTGAAAGAAAGTCTGTGTTGCTTTAAGTGTTAAGATAAAATAGCACTGAATTAAAAGATGGTTTTAAACTTTTTTTTTAGTAGCTCATGGACTGTTACAGTATGGGCTGTGATTTATTTATTTATTTTTTAGTGGGCCATCTGTTCATTGCTATATAGCACGAAAAAAGGAAAGGCAAAAATATCAGAAAGTAACTGAGAAAAGTCTTATACTGCAGCTTGGTGGGTGACGTGAAAAATGCAAGCTCTACTGACTTTTAGGCTGCATGTACATTATAGCAGTAGAAGAATGGTTTTGGAGCTAAGGAGTTTGGTACTGAGGATATTTTGGGGGATTTATAGTAGGTGGGTTTTTTTCATCTCTGCCCTTTTTGATATAAAGATCGAAACTAAAAGCCTGTGATATGTTTAAAACATTGTGCTAGAGATAATGATGATTTTACAGAACTGTTTCTAAAGGCCATTAGGCTGTAGTGTTGCTCTTTCATAATTCCTATTACCACAATGCATTGTTTAGTTCATATACACCATGTTTAGGCAATAAACAAAAATCCAGAGCATGTGGAAAGTTCATTTTCTAGAGGTTTTGGAAAAATCTAATTATATGAGATAATGTGTTACGGTAATGCAAAAGCTTAAGTATAAAATACATTCACTTGTAACCTGAGCAGTGCCCAGACTGCTTTCTGTTAAATGTTTTCTGTTGGAAATTACTGGCATTAAAATCTCAGCAGTTTTTTTTTTTTTTTCTGATGAAGGCAAACCCTTTGAACAATACTGTTTTTATGATTTTGCTTTAAGTCTTGACAAAATCTAATTTCATAACTTAGAATATTTAAGATGCTTTGTTTTCATCTAATATCACCAGAGAAGTGGTCTGAGAAGTAGCAGTGAGATGTACCTGTTCCAGATTTTGCTTGGCTTCTTTCATTAGATTCTGCTGGTATTTTAGGGTATTTGGAACTTAATAGGATATGATCTTAATTTCTTTATGGTTAAAGGACACTGAGCAAAGTTTGAGAAATAAATTTTAGAAAATAAAGACCACACAAGATTTCAGGGCCTGAACCTTTGAAGCCCAGTGAGTTTGATATGTATTCATGTGAAAATACAGCATTTGTGCTTAAAAAATGTGTAAAGTTCTTACAGTCTGAAAAAACTGAGTGAAAAGTGTTCTTTGTGATACTTTAATATACCATGAGACTTCTAGTCCTCAAACTACTAAAATGATAAATGCTTTTTCCATAGCACGTTGGGATTTTTCAGAACTACTGGAAAGTAAACCCAGTGGCTTTGCAGCAGTTTGCCAGAAGCTCTGTGTTCCTGGCAATCTCAGTTTCCCAGGTGGATGTTTGAGGATGTCCAGCCCTAGTGAAGGTAGTCAGTACAAGTGTACTGAGCTGAGCTACTTGAGAATTGAAGGACAGAACACTTTTCTCACTGAGGCTTGAAAGTTCTGGTCTACTGTCACCTCAAATTTAATGACTTTATAGAGCTAATTTAATAATAGAAGTACAGAGTCTACTTTTTCTTCAACTGTTATTTGCCAATAAAGTAAACTTTAACCATTCAGATGAATATAGGTAAATAATGATTAACAGCCAAATATGGATATAAACATCTGTATTCAGCTGTTGGTAATTGAGCATCACCATGTTTAAACACTGTGCCTAGAATATTTGATTTGCTAGTATTGGAAACCCATATGATTATCAGGAAAGACCTACCTCATGAGTAAGGCTATTGAGTAATCTAAAGTAAAAATAATTCATCCCAAACCAACACAACAGTCAACCCCCTGAGAAACGCATAGGCAAAACAGCGATGTGTGAAAAATTCTTTAATTCTAACCTCTAAATATTGTTTATTGTGAATAAATAATTGCAGATTAATTGTTTACAACCAGATAAATTGTGATAATTGAGTTGAATTTCCATGAGCTGTTTTTAAAAGCTATTCTGACAGACATTTGGTAGCATTAATATGCACAAGAAAAGAGAGAAAGATATTGAGATTTAGTTTCTCTTCCTATAGATAGGTAAGAGAATTAGCAAGTGAAATTTTGAACCGTATTCAGGTCTGGTTCCTGAGCAAGAAAACTTGACTGTTTATCATTTTGTGAACCAGTCATTGGTTAATTCAAAAGAACCCCATAAAATGATACTTATTCTGTATATAGGGATTGTTCTGTATGCATACATTTGCAGATGAGGAGAACATCAGGGTGTAGCAGAAGAACTAAAGGGGGGCCCTCAGGGTGGTCCATTCTTCTCGGTGAACCACAGAAGTCCTACCAGCCTTTCTGTGGTAAGTTTGCTCCAGTGAATGAATTATTTGTCAGTCACACTCATATTTATGTTTGTGATCACAGAGATAACAATTTGTGCATGTATCTGGGAATATTTTTATTTTCTAATTTTTCAGTTAAATTTACTTTATCATTATATTTTAATTTCTTGGTTTACTTTTTTTGTTTTAAGGGGTTGGACAATGATATGAGCTACAGGTCAATTTAGGGTTCTTTTTCCCTTTTCTTGTCTTCCAGATTCTTAACATCTGCTAGAAAATGCATTGCATAGGAGGAAGGTCAGAAAAAGGAATTGATGATCCTTACTTGAAAGACTAAATGGAGGCAGGTAATGATGCAGTTCCTTGACTTGTAATTCTGCCCATTTGATATGAGGCCTATATAGTAGCTACTTCTTAGAATGCTTCATGATAGATATAAATGAAGTACAGAATTACAATAATTTAACCTAATTGCTCTGTAAAATAAAATAAATTAAACCATCATTGTTCTATTCTTTCTCTTAGATCACCTTGTGATGACCTTACCCTGTGTACTATTGTTTTCCTCACAGAAAACATGAAAAATAAAAGGATTAGAAGAAGCCTGCGAAAAGAAGGATTAGATTGCACTCATTTTTTCTACAAAAATGTCCTTATGTTGTAAATTGTTCTAACGAAAATACTGTCATCCAAATGCAATAAGACAAAGAACTTTCAATAAAAGTATATAAAACATAGTTTTTTAAAAGTATGTTTTTATTAAAATTGCAAAGAAACTTGGTGTTAGGTTTGTCATAGAATAATATGCTTCTAAAACTGTGTTTACAGAGATATGGGGTGTGGAGGACTTGAGCAGTGAAAGAGACAAGTGCAAATAAGAGATCTAACAAAGAATGATGCTTTATTGTTGGCATGTTTGCTACTAAATGAAATTGTTACACCCGTTTCATTTTTACCGCCTCTAAGTTCAGTAAGATCCTCATATTCATGGTGATACTTAACAGACTTGCACATGATTTAATCTGCAATGGCCTTGCTGCAGTGATGTCACTGACTAGAATGACACTTGTGCTGATGTAAATAAGGAAAGAGTCAAACCACTGGTTCACAGAGACTGCTGAGAGCCAAAGTTCAGCCCTGAAACCCAGTCTTCTGAAAAAAGACACAGAGCAATATCCAAATAGAGAATGAATAATGCCTGTAAAGGGAGCCTTTAGCACGCTGGGGTACTGACTGTGGACCTGTTCCTGAAGATATTGCTGTTAGGTAGGAGTTGATGCCAAGAATTTTTGACATTTGTGGGCTAAGTCCATCAATTGGCAGGATATGTGAAGAAGTGATTTTGAAAATGGAGGCTGTGTGGTAAGAGATAGGGGCCTAGAAAATCTGCCTGACTCTATTGTGAGAGTCCATAGGGAGCTGTAAATAACCAGATAGTATTTAACCAAGAAGTAATGCAGTAAGTAAACTATGGAATAAATTGTTTCTGTAATATGTCAACAGAGTTATGCAGTTGGCAATTCTCCACCAGCTAACTTTTTTACTCTCTAGGTTTCTGTTCTTATTCTATGCAGTTTCTCTCTTCTCTGAACAGTTAACCTACCTCTTATATTTTTTAACCCTTAAATTATCTGGAACTCTTTGTTTTGAATTATCTTGTGCCAAATTGTCTTTTTTTATAAGCTTGTTATCTGATGTCAGTAGAGCTTGGGTAGTGGTTATTATCAGCCTACTGCTATATTTAAATTAAGGAAAATCTGCCAATTCAGAGACTTACTGGGTAACTTAGCAGATTTTTTTTTTGTCATTTAGTGACAATTTGGTACATTGGTACTTGTTGAAAGCTACTAAATGTAGCTTAAGCAGTGAGTAGAAACTATGGAACGTGTATGAATGGCATTTATATCTAGGCTGAAGATTTGGCATGTTCACTGAGTCCTGTGTGCTTAAACCAGTGACAGATTCAAGCTCCCAAGTGATTTACAGAAGGCCTAGATCAAATTCCTCACAGGGATATTTGGGAAGGCATAGAAAACAAACTGCCACATTTGAAAGAATTGTTAGCATTGACCTTGTCTAAGCCTATAAAAACTTTAAGAAAGAAATATGAAATAAATGTGAAATCAAACATTTCAGGTGGTATTGAGGTTAAGAGTTGTTGCTCTGTAGTGTAAAGGGAGAGTGGAAAGAATAGTCAGTATGAGTTACAGAATCCCTGAAGAGAAGTGTCAGCACTATCAGATACCTAACTCCTAACAGAAATATCAGAAGAAAACTGTACAACTGGTGGATGGGTGAACCATAAATATATTTAAGTGAGGGGCAATAGCTCATTGCAGCTTCAGTGCATAGAAATTTTCTGTTAACTTGATAATCAGTGAGTTAACAGCATTAATATTTATGTTCTAATAACTGTGCTTAAGAAGAAATGATGAAAGAAAATTATTTAATCCCCTAAAATATAGTAGTCTTTAAGGTGGAGACTTGGCAAAGAACTGTTGAGTGAAATTTTGTAGTTTCCACTTATTTAGCACTTTTTGCTCAGCTATTCAGAACTACATTATTAATATGTCTGTGAGATGTTTTTTGAAACATGTAAAAGTCAGGAAAATGTTGGTTCTCCTTTGTTATGCATATCACAATCATTGTGTCAGCACAGAGACTAAAGTTGTCTCTGTTTTCTGTTATGAGTTTTAGGTCATAGAATATTTTGAAAAGAATTCATTTGGTATACACTTACCTGCAAGTTTTCATTATGCTAATTTTGTCAACAGTATATAGACTGTGAAGTCTTAGTGCATTTATAATGTGCTAAATAGAGATCAAGATTTTTTCAGATGGCTTTTCTCAGTATGGATAAAGATTCTTTAGCAACATATTGTGTTTTCAAAAAAAAAAAAAGGCTCTTTAGAAGTGAAACTCTACAAATCAAATCTCCATGGTAACACTAGATTCTTCTGCCAACCTGTGCTGTTGCACATTTCCTTGTCAAACTGAAGGTAGTTTCACAGTTGTATAAAACAAATCTTTTTCATGTAGTTAAAATGGAGAAGTAAACCAACACTTTTATTGGTCATTTTGCTTATGTTATTGTATATCCCTTCTCATTTCCATTGCTGGTATTTTATGGTTTTGGCATTCGTGGGGGCAAAAAGTGTTCTGAAGTGGAATTTTAGCTTGTAGTTGTACTACAGAACATGTTTAGTGTAAGACAAACCTCGAAGAAATGGCTTATTGACTGAAATGACTTTAAAATGAGTCTTTTAGCATGTTGAGAATTGTGTTTCTATTCTACATATCTCTGCTTACCAATGAGATTTTTGCTTGTTGTGAGAATCACAAGCTAATTGAATCAAAATGGCATCAAAATAATTTCTCTAGTTCAGAAGTATTTTCATAAATAATGAGTTAGACTTGTTCATCCAACTCTATAAATAAAAGGAATCTTTAGCCATTTGGACTCCCCTGGGAAGCAGAGCAGTGTATCCCTGTGCTGCTCAAGGCTGTTCAGCTGAAGGGGAGCAGTGCCTGTGCTTTCCCGATCCTGGAAGGAGGCGCCACTGTGGATTCCTGAAACGGTGGAACCTGATTACTTCTGGCACATGAGGTGTCCCATGAGTTGTCGTTCACTGTCCTGATGAGGAAACAGTTCTTGAGTGGGAATTGTTTGGGTTGGCAATTGTTAGACTGGATGATGAGGTAGCTCTGTATGAAACACTGAGTGTGTGTTCTGACCTTCCTTCCCACCTTAAAATGAAAAGTAGATTTAATGGATGATCAAAATGCTGTTGGAATGACTTAGTGACAGGATGTGTCTGCTTACAGATGGGGAATGTCTGTATTTTTACACATAAAATTAATGTGCTTTTGGTCTTTTGATTAGTGATGAGTTGCAAGTTTTTAATTAAAATGGTAGTGGTGTGCAGCCTGGCATAACTTTCCAGTGAGCAGAAAGGAATAGGATGTGGGCTGACTAAATTGTTTTGGTTTCCCACATAGAGTGGGAATTTTGCCACTTGGATGATTAAAAATGACCATTTTGTGGACTAGCAACTGATCTTGTGATACCTATACTTAACATTGTATGAAATGCATACTAGTCTGTAAAGGTCCATGTAGATGTCTATTTAATCATGCTGCTGATCAATTTGTGGAAATCCTGCAAGGGGGGAAGAATTCACGTATCGACTTTTTTATTCTGGAAGTTCAAAAATACTTAAGTTGAAACTTTTGGCTACCGTAACCCCTCTGCTTTTTATATATTCTACAGTGTATGAACCAGAGCTTGAAAGGGTTGATGGTGTCTTGTCTATGCATCCCATACTTGCCTTAGACTGAGTTAAGCTCTAATTTCAATGAACAAGAGACAGGAGAAATGGTAAAAAAGAGAAAGCTCCTTGGGTATGAATTGAGGTCCCTCAGTACCTCTGGGCTGATCATGAGCATTACATTGTCCAATGCTCTACATAAAAGAGAGAATGTGTTCTTCAGAAGGACAGTCTGGCTAAGAGAAGAAAACATTAAACCTTCTTCTTTATAAAGTTCTCCTGAAACAAAGTATTACTCTGAAAAGCCTTGAGCTAACTCTGCCTCTCTTTTCAAACAAATATGACAAAAGATATTTATAATAGTAGTAATTTGAAGTTTTTGAGTTTAAAAACATATAGAAATCAGATAATACATAACATGTAATATTTTTCTCAGTATATTAAGGAAATTTTATTTGTTGAAACTGTACCTGCTGTATTCAGGCCTTCTGTAATAGTGACTCCAAAAGTTATCAAAACAAACCAAACCCCATACCTACACTGAGGTAAGTTTTATGCCCAAAAAAAAAAGTAAAACATGGAAAGCATAGATAACAGTGGTTTGTTATTTCTGCCTTTTCCATTTGGAGCATGGTGGATTTTTTTAAAGTACACATAATCATGTCTTCTGTACAGAATTTAATATCTTATGTCAACATGCAGTTTTTCTCTATTTGCCAGTTTTCCAGTCTTCACCTATGCAAGCATCATTACACAGATTCACAAAGTTTTGAAAATTCTCCTTTAGGGTCTGCTTTTAATCACAACAGATAATAATGATAATTTTGGTTGAGCTTCTTTGGATTTACATCTATGGAGAAAACAAAGCATTTGGATATACTTATAGTATCTATGCATTCAGCATTTGTTTGAGTACTGATGCACAGGGAAGTAGTTTTTAAATTGTCTCTCAGCCCCTGGCTTGTAGGTATTCATAAAACATGTAGATACAGGAAAGGTGAAGTCTGAACTGTGTGAGGAAGTGGTGTCTTGCTCCTTGTATTGCCCTGAGGTAAGGAAAAGGAATAAAAAAAAGAATTTATTTTCCCATTCTTAAGAGCTGTCTGTGATATGAAGTGATTTTGTTTCTAAGAGACAACATCAGACACTTTTCTCTCCGCCGTAATTTAAAAACAGATACGGAACTGTTGTATCTTTTATGCAGTGATAAAATATGTTTTTTTGTTGGTGTGATTTTTTTTTTTCTGATCATATTTTCAGTTCATGTGTGGGTTTTTCTGTTCTGATAAAAATAGAAGACTGGAAGAGGAAATTTGAACAGATGGATTTGAGTTACCAAGCAACACTTAATTTCCCAGGCAATGGAAAAAGTATCAGAGCAGGTGCTAAGTGGATTTTATTTATTTATTTATTTATTTATTTATTTATTTATTTATTTTATTATTTTAATCTGATGTATGAGCTTCACTTTAACAGGCTCTTGACAAACTTCATAGAATGATAAATATTCAAGTTATTCAACCTGTGCAGGTTGTTTCATATGTGAATTGAACAGTTCCTTTCTGTAGTTGTAGAACACAGTCTGTGCAGCAAGGCTGTTGTGGAGGACATGGATGTTATTTGCTTCACTCCAATATTCTCACATACAATCAACTCTGTTTTTCTGATTTTAATGTGTTCCTGTAATTTCAGAGTGAACTAAGTGTTCTGCATTCTCAAATGTTTAGACATTATCCCTACTTCTTCCCTCTTAAGGAAGACTGACTTGGTTGGCAGATCTCAACTGATAGGCAGAGCTGCATTGACTTGGTGGGTGCCTTAAATTCAGTTTCTGGCAGATCCAAAAATAGGATTTTTTTTTTTTAAGTCAATGCAAACTAATTTCTTCCTTTCTTTTTTATGTGAGATTTTGATGGGGTGAGTTCTTTTGACAAGCATAAAATTTGAGGTTTAGGTTAAAAAGCATACTATTTATGAGTTGTTTTTTAAAAAAACCAAACCACAATGCCCACCTGCTAAAGCATGCCTGTCACTCAAATTATGTGAAAAATTATCCATGTTTATGTCTTTAGGGTACTGCTCTCATGTCCCTCTCTGTCATACATTTGCATAACCTAACAGCTACATAGAACATTTGGGAATGTAGGGATGACATTTCCCTGAATATCTAGGGGAGATAATGTTGTTAACTGAGAGCTTTGACATTCTGTTACATGATGATATGATGACTGTAATCTTTGTTAGAGAATAATATCTTAATTTTTCATCTAGCACTATTGTCACTCTTTTCTGCAGCACTGCTCTCCATGCACCCAGCCTGTTCTGATACTGGGCGTTGCCCCCACCCAGGTGCAGGACCTGGCCCTTGAGGGTTCCCAGCACATTCCAGCAGCCTGTCACTGTCCCTCTCACCCACCCCTTCCCAACCAACAGCACTGCTCAGCCTGGTGTCACCTGCAAGCATGCTGAGGCTGTGCTCAATTCCACTGGTTGAGGTATTGGATAGTATTTGTCTCAATATGGGCCCTTGGGCACCACAAATATTGTCACAGAACTTAATTTGCATTTTAAAACTTGATATACCACAAAGCCAATGAATTTACACATTTGAAGTCTTATTAACTCAGATGTTTGCTGGTTTGCTGATTCAGGTTAAATACTAAATGTCCTAAGCCAGCAGTAATTTTAAATGCATGTAAGTAAAACTCACTCATATTTAGAAAAGCACTTCCTGGAGAATTATGGAATGAAAATCAAACCTGTTAGTTATTTAGCTAGTGATTTCACCAAGCCCACATAAAAGGAAAAGAGACATGAAAATGTAGGCTAGAAGAAGTAATAACAAAGGAGTATATAAATTAATAAGTCTGGATATTAGTAGGTACAACTATGCTTTTCAAAATTAAAAAATCCTGTGCTAATAAATTTGAAGTGTTACTGCAACATGGGGGTAGGCCAGCACTCCCATGGGTTGGCTCAGCCTGTTTACAGTGATTGATGTTTTCTCAATGTAAAGTTTATAAAAGGATTTCTACCAGAAAAATGATCACATGTTTGAAGTTCTGTGCATGTTAACACCAGCTAACACATTCTGCAGTAACCTTAAGAGCTCTGTGCAGCAAGTGTGGGAAATATGTAGTACTTCTGGCTTCGAGTTGTCGAGTGCAAGTCTGGTTTTGGCAGGGCTGTTTTGCTGCCATTTGAGCGCTAAGTTCTTAATTTAATAATTTAAATTGGTTTTGCATCTGCAATCAGGCTGAAAAGGAGCACTGGTGCAGAGCAGAAATTAAACAAGTGTTTCTGGGTGTGTGCATAGGTTGGAAGGTGGGGAAAGCTGTAAACAGGATATCACCCTTTTGCCTTTTTGTTTTTGTAGGACAGAACTCTTAGGTTTCAGCTTGTTTAAGGAACCTATCGGGAGCTTAGCTGTGTGAGTATGGAAAGAGCTATTGGAAAACTGCTTTCCTCTATTTAGATGAACTGGCCTGTAGAAATACCACAGACACTGTGTGTTGGCACTGCTGGTAACATCCTATCTCACAGTACCGTCCACATTTAGATGGTCTTTGGTTTTTATTATTTATGAGGAGTGGAGCTGGCACACAGCAGCATCTCTACTGTGTGTTCTGGATCTCAGGATTGTATTTGGTAATCTTTGCTGTGACTTTACCCTTTTAAGTGTTGCCTGTATGCTTTTGATGGCAGGAGCAAGGGAAGTCTATTCTTAGTTACACCCTAAGGTGAAATTCCATTATTACTCCACGGTTAGTGTTACACTCATTCTAAAACTGATGGGATATTGCTTTCTTCTTCAGCCTTATTAAAAAGTTCTTTGTGTGCTCAAGCTTCTAAATGGGAGGGAAGAAGTGGAAATAAGTCCTTAAAGTAATGGATTTGTTGGATAAAGATTTTTTTAAACACTATGGATTACACAAAGGATTTGTAACAATAAGGATTTTGCATTTTAAGAATTTGAAGATGTGATTTTAATAGAAGATAGTCTTCTAAAAAAAGATCCCCACACCCAAAACCAAATAGTTAAAAATCCTGGTTTATAACTCCCAACCATCTTTCATTTTTGTATCCTACTGCAAGCTAAGTGATTCTTTTTAGTGCGCCAGAGTTACTAATAAATGACTATTTAAACATTTAGCTTTAAAAAAAGTTTCCATGCAGTTATAAAGCTTTATATGCACTGAAAAAAGAAAGATTTTTAGCCAAGATGTTTTAGAGTATATTTGCTTTGCAGAAGTGTAAGCAGCACTTGGAACTTCTGTTTACTGATTCTAATGGACTACACCTGAAAACAAATACATGGCCTTCCTTTACTGCAGACACTCAAGCATTTCAGTGTGTTCTTAAAGAAAATGGTAAAAAGGAAGAAAACTCTCTATCATTAACGTTTCTTTTTCTGAAAATATGTGTGTAGTAATAATTCTTTCCTTTTTCTAAATTTGGGGAAGTAATTTTGGTAAGAGGACAAGAGATTAATGGTACTGTGCAAAACAGAAATGTTCCTCTAGGAGTTTTATTCCTTCTACAAAGAAAAGAAATAAATTTTCAAGAATTCTGGTAAAAGTGGAGTTTCAGTAGCTCCTTTCAGAAAAAACACTGTGTGCTTTCAATTACAAACTAAATTGTCCCACATGCATTTCAAGCTCCATATAGAAATCTTGTTTTTACTTGAAACTTTTTGTATGTGGTCTCTTGCCAGAGGACAAACTTCCAGTATGACAACGCATGTGGTTGCTTAAGGTTTTTGACATATAGGTCAATGAAAAGCTGAGTTTCTTAAAGCTCTGATTATTTTTCCTCATAGTCTGTCTTTAGGTATGTTAGTAAAACTTCCTAAGCCCCTCTTATATGCACGAGTTCAGGTATGAATTGAAGTCTGATCATTGCAAAGAAGTGCTTTGGCTCATGATTCAATGTGGTGGTTTTCAGCTGGTGTAAAAACTCTTCCTTTCTCCCTCATACTCTTCTTTACATCTCCAAGCTTTTTAATGTAGGCCAGAGACTGTGTTAGACTCATTGTTCAAGAGTAGTACTGAGGGCATTGAGATTATTGCTGGACTTGTCCGTCATCATGAACTATTGACCTTTGTTTTATAGTTTGGTGGTGGTCCCTGATTAATGCAATTTATTTCATGTTCATCAAAATTCATATCTGTTTATTTAAAATGACAAAGAGAGAGATAATTAGGCATGCATCTGAGTATTTTGCTTAACTCTGAGAACTTAACAAATTTTAATACCCCTAATTTACAAAGACAATCTCTGCAGAACTTTTGTAGCTGTCCTCTCTTCACATTTCCTCTGATTTTTCATTTCATGTTCTTATATACACATTTTCATTTCTTCAAGCTAGGAATTTGACAAAATTTCTTTAACAGGTTCTCCCAGAGTTAAAATACCTATAAATGGTGAATTTTTAAAAGAAAATTCATGGTAACACGATTTTTAGAATCCTTTCCAATAAAAGGGTTCCTTATTCCTGCACACTGGAGACAGACATGGTAATTTTGTGTTGTCAAGTTATGGTTTCCAGAAAGACAAAGAGTTTGATCAGGATTTCTTAACTCTACTTTCATTTTAACTACTATGAGACTATTTGGTTGGGGGTGGATGTGAAGAGTTAGAAACCAGCAGAGAAGTCTGCATGTTAAGAATGAATTAATTCCTGTATGTTATATTTTTCTTGTATTCTGGTTAAATTGAATTTTATCAGTGTTTCTAATGGTATTTTTGGCTAAAGAAACACCTGTTTAGACACTTAGCTAAGTGCTGTGCTTTTACTTAAATGATTGAAATATTGAAATACTGCTGATCTAAATTTTAAAGTTCAGACAGGCTGATCCTTGGTAGAAGAACTACCAAGGCTTTCTTCAGGAGATTGTGACCAGTGTGCTTTGGGGTGTTTGAGAGAACCAGCAGCTCCTATGCCACTGCCTGCTGTGATTTGCAGATTTGTACATTTTGTCTGTGAAGGCAAAAAGCTGCATTTACTGACACAGTGGTTACTCATGCCAGTTTTTATACTGCCTTCCAATGC